GGGCAGCTGAAGCGCTCTGTGGGACTGGTTTGTGGCCTGTTTGGAGAGGTCACCAGTCTGGGGACTGTAAGGAGCCCCTATGTTGAGCAATTCGCCCTGAGCGGACGCCCTCAGCTGTGCCCAGACGCGGCCCGGTCCGTCACATCATCTCTGCTTCAAAGTCTCGTTAGCCTAATGCTATGAGATACTATGCCATGTTTCCTTTCAAAGTCTCGCCATAAAGCCACTCCCCCAAATTACTGTGCTCTGAAACACAGCCTCCATACAATAGACATCTTCAGTGTCTATTGTTCAGATAGAATCATGCCCACATTTCTAATTCATGGAACGGTTACTTTAATAAATTCCAGGCATTTAAGCTAAATCAATTTAGTTTCTCCTTAAGAAAAGCCATATAAGAGCTCACTAAAAGCCATAGGTTTCCCCCAAGCATTTAGCCCAGCAGTACTTTCTCTCCTTTCAATTACTCTAAAAATCTCCTAGTGATTGGAAGGCTATTAGAAGGTTATCATAAAAAGCAGACCAGAGTTCTCCAGACAGTTCACACAAGCAGTCAACAGACTGAACTCAAAGCTTGTCATCTGCAGCTATGCTGTTTTCTACTGTGGTCCACATATATCACAAATTAAGCAATACTAGGTCAGTTCAGTATTCAGAAGGGTAGAGCCCTGCTTGGATACAAAATTTGGATCCACATCCATCTGTGAACTGTAAACATAGTCCACAAATATCCAAATATTTCCAGTGCTCTACAGATGGGAGACGTATAAAGAACATCTACAGTGGGTCTACTACAGAAAGTTGTGCTGGTGACTCAAATGACACACTTCCCCTGAACCAGCATTAAGCCAGTATACCAACAAAAAAAGAATGACAGCGCTGACAAGACAGGTACACACACTTGAAGTCATGTTCAGATCTCATTTTTTACACATACGCGCGCACACATGAAAAAGCCATACACTCACCAGATTCCTATTCTTATAACTACATTCTGCCTCCCATAAGTTCTCCTTTCAGTTTCATTTAGAAACAACATTCTACACTTTCCATCCTAAACTTGTGTTGCATTGTTGTATGGGGAGACAAATGCTGCATTCCATAACACCTGCAACAACCTCTACCCACCTCACAGGACTGTAAGGAGGAGTTTGCAGAGTGTATGGAGATCCTTAGAGGAAGGGTGCTACAGGAAGGTAACACTATCAAACATACAGAATGGTATTACTATTACCAGTGCTTGATTATCACTGGCCTGCCATAATTTTCAGTGTAATTTATTAAACGAATGCTATTGGGACATATGAAGATAATGGAAACAACATACAGGTACTTGTTCCCTCTGAAAAAATACTGTAATTCCGTGTTTTAAAGGAATTTGGAAGAGCACATGGTGTTTGGCCAGAGGGTCAGGAGACCTTGTGTTCAACCACTCTGAGTTAAGGCAAACCACCTTTCTGCCACAGTTAGTATCTTTAGAGTAAATAAGTTATATATCTCCGCCTCTAAAAAGGGAAACAAGTATTTTCTACATCAATATAACCTGGGCTAGATGCTCAATATGGCAAGAGCAGTTTGTCCTATAGATATTCCACCTTGCATCACTCTCAAGACAACCTATTCTGGGGACAAAAGCTCTTTAGTTATATCAAACCACTTCTAAGCAGACAAGACTGTACTACCTAGGCACTATTACAAATTGAGACAGAGAGCAAATTCTATCTAGAAATGGGACAGATATCCACGACCCATCTTATTCCTCATCCAACCAAGGGCAAGGTAAGTGTCTGACTTCTCACCAGTTTCAAGTACAGCTCTACATCTTTCTCCTTCAGGGTGGAGTAAACCTTCTCCATCTTGTAGGTGATGCCACACTGAGAATCATCAAGGCTCTTAATGAAGTTGTCTCGGATCTCAGCCATTAGGTTGGTGAAGCAGAAAAATGTATCTGCTTCTGCATGTTCTGAAAGACACATGGGAGCGATATAACAGAAGTGCAGAAGGAAGCTGTTGCAACCGTAATAAGCCTCCCCTGCTAGACACTAACCAGGCTGTGGTACTGGACTTAAATCATGGGGCTACGCCTACACTGCAGGCTTCTTGCACAAGAACTGTTTTGCTCAAGTGTTCTGGCAGCGTGGACACTCTTGTGCAAGAAAGCTCTGATGGCCATTTTAGACATAGGGGTTTCTTGCGCTAGAAACCCCTGTTGCCAGTCCACACTGCCTTCTCATGCAAGAGCTCTTGCACAAGAGGGCTTATTCCTCATGGAATAAGCCTCTGTTCCAACACTTTACTGTAAGTTTACTTGTGCAAGAACGCGTGTGCAGTGTAGACTCTCTGCAAGTTTTTGCGCAAGAACAGATGTTCTTGCGCGCGAAGCCTGCAGTGTAGACGTAGCCTGGTGTTCTTGGCTTGTGGGGACTGATCAAGTTTAGGCACTGTTGCTGGATCTCCATGCACATAATCCAGTATAAACCTCTGACATCTGATACTGCTCTTAGCAGCAGGGACCATGCAGTCCAATTGCTTCCATCCTCTCCCAAGCTTTCCAGTTCCTTTTGTCACATGACCTTCCTGATAAGCCCCTGAATGCTCCCCTCCCCCAGCTGATCTATGCCTTGATTACTACTCAGTGGAAAAACTGGTTTCTTGCAGCTCAACCAGTCCCTATAGCACCAACTCACTGTATGGACCTAGTAAGAGTTAACAAGCCTGCATGTTCCTTTAACAGTTCTCTAGGTATGGTCTGTGAAAGGTCAGACAGTCCCTGCTAGCAGATTCTCTACACATGGAGCATGACGACGCAAGAGTTCATGAAGTCAGAATTCATAAGTTTTCGACAGATGGATTTCTCATGATCTCACAGAAATGCATCTCAGAGGATTTCTGTGCTTCTTTCCAAGCACACACTCAGAACTGCCCGCTTTCATCGAGGTCTAGTATGGAGAAAGCCTGAGAGCCTCCTCCATAGCTGCCCTTCTAACTCTTCCCTGAAACAACTGTTGCCAGGAGTGGTGTTAAGTCACTCAAGTCTAACTGCTTACCTTTCCAGTCACTGTTGGAATCTGTAGCAAAGGTATAGTAAAGAGGGCCCACTATTTCATTCATCCCCTGAACATATGCTATCCCTGGATTCAGCTTGGCATAGATGAACAGGATTCGTTCTACCACTTCCCAGTGAGCTTCGCAGCCATTTGGCAGAACTTCATACTCACTTAGTGAATTTGGAACAGATGTTTTAAGAGGGGAACTCACCTGAAAAATAGATAAATACAAGAAAAATTATTCTGGGCACCCACTTTGTACAGGCAATCAGTTTTCCAAGGAGCAGCCAGGCATTTAACTTTAGGCACTCGGCACCCCCAAATAACCATTAATCAACAGAAAATGCCCTTTCCAGGCTGTAATTAATGCTTAAACCCAGATGGTAACCCAGTCAATTGTAAGACTTACTGTCATAAAATACAAAGGAAGCCAGCCTGACAAGTCTTTTTGCAAAAACAAATGAGCTAATCCAGCAGCAGACAGCTACCCTGGATCAAAACACAAACTCAGTATCCATTGAGGGAGGACCTGCTACATTAGAGAGGCAGGAAGAGAAGTGATCAGTCACATTCATCAGTTACTAGTGCCGTTGTATCTGTTCTAGAATGACATTGGGAAGTACAGCACCCACATAGGAAAGCAGCACAAGGCAGATACAAGTCTGGGTGACAGGGCAACAAAGTGGCAGATGTTATTTAATGCTGGTAAGTGCAAAGTAATTACTTTTTCCAAATGTATATAAGTCCACCTGTATGTATACAATAATGGATTCTTAGTTAGCTGCGTCTATCCAAGAAAGGCCTTGGAGTTATTGTGGATAGTCCTCTGAAAGCTTTTTTGAATGCTGTTGAGGAGGAAGTTAACAGGAACTATAGAGTTATTGTGGATAGTCCTCTGAAAACTTCCTCCTCAATACACAACAGCATTCAAAAAAGCTAACAGGAACTATTAGGAAAAAGACAGACACACAAAATATCATAATGACACTACAGAGCCATTGTTTGCCTACCCTTGAATACTGTCTCCAGTTCTGATTATGGATGTCAGTGTGTAGTCCATTACACGATTCACCAATAAGCCTGGGCTAACTAAGGCAGCAGGTGGTGGGGAGGCTACTGCAAAGCAGCCTCTGTCCGCAGGGGGTCTGAGCGTCCTGTGGACAGAGGCTGCTCTGCCTCCCACAGAGCAGCCTCCGTCCACCGCAAACGTGGGCCAGTAGGGTGGCAGAGGGCTCGGGCCAGTAGGGTGGCAGGGGACTCCTCGGGAGTGGGGCTGGGAGCTCACTGGCTGCTGGCACTGCCCTCATGGACTACTGAATAGTCAGATAACTGATAAGATTTCATGCCATTACACAACTATTCTATTACACTATAGCTTAACATCCCTAGTTCTGATTGCCCATCTCAAGATCTATAAAATCATGAATGGTGTGGAAAAAAAGTGAATAGAGAAGTGTTATTTACCATTCTCCATGACACAAAACCAGGGGTCATCCAATTAAATTAGCAAGCAGCAGGTTTAAATACAAACAAGCAGTATTTTTTCCACACAACTAACCCTGGATGTTGTACTGGCCAAAAGTATAACTGAGCTCAAAAAAGAATCAAATAAGTTAATGAAGGCACATAGACACTGACGGATCTAGCCAAGAGAGACAGGGATGGAATTTCATGCCCAGAGTGACCCTAAATCTTTCACTACTAGAAACTAGGACTGGAAATGAGGGGTGGATCACTCCATCATTACCCTGTTCTGTACATTCCCTCAATTTCTGGGATGGGCCACTGTCAGACAGGATACTGGGCAGGCTGGACCATGGTCTGGCTTAGTATAGCAGCTCTTATGTTTATACAAGTGATGTTTGCAGTGAAGAGAATAAGGAAGATAAATGGTAGCTGACTCCAGTGCTGTCTCGAGTATAAATCTGATCAGCTTGTTACATCTCAGGCTCTAGGAGACTAGATCAGTTTGTCCCCTGTTGTAAACCCTCTTGGTCCTCTACAGCACATCCAGGGGTACACACATATCAGCAGCAATAAGAACTGTGAACACATCCGTTGTAGCTCAGTAAATTCAGGAGAAAAGATTGTCCCAACAAAAGACAGAATTAAAAACGATTCAAAAGAAAGCAGAACAAAGACCTTCAAGTCCTTTTGTGCTGTCAAACATGCCAAACAGCACAGTATGGAATAAACAATGTAATCAATAATTAGAGAAATAGAATCTATTGGGGGAGCAGGAGATTTCAGGAGCTCAACACAGAGAAAGGAGAATTCCTTTCCATCCAGAGAGCTGTTCAAGTTCTCCACATCTCAGTGACACCCTTCCTTGCCTGGAAGCGTATACATGTGTACTCTTACTTGTGAGCAGATATGGGGAACTCTTAGAGAGTCATCTTTGTGTTTGTGATGTTTGTTGACAGGATTAGCTTCACTAGTGACTGTGAGCAATTTGTCCACAAATCAGGCTGATTTTAGCCTCTCTGCAGGTAGGAAATGAGAGAGGCTTGATGCTGTAGAACTTTATAAAAAAACTGTTCTCCAGTAAGCCCATCCTCCTGGAGAAAGGGGGAGAAGCATCACCCTCTTACAGGCATACAAGAATCTACACCATACATGGAGGTGGAAGAAGGAATAACTGCAGAGTATCTTTAACAAGTCAGCCTGGTAACCATTTTGGCAAGTGTACCACAGAAGTGCACAAACTTTCTTCCACCTATCACATGCTCATCCCCCATCCCAGAAGCACAGGGAAAGTGTCATGATAGATCTTACATTTGTGACTCCACTCCGATTTCGTGCCACTGTCTGTGATTTGAGCGTTGTCTGTTCTACCCGCTTGCGGAGTGTCTCAAACTCATTCTGAGGGTCCAGGATTAGCAAGCAGGGGTAGTCAGTTGGGCGCTGGAAAAATGCCATATCAGGGTATAGCCTCCTGGGTTGTAAAAAGATGGAAACCAAATTAAAAGGGGTTGTTAGAAGCAGAGGGGTGCCACATGAAACAGAACAGGCCTGATAACATTAAAAATTTGGTCTTCCTGATGTGGCAGGTATGTGTAAAGTACTTGGGAAAACTGCACTGCTATTCTTCCTCCCTAGAGAGCCCAGCTATCTACACATACCTGACATCCTTGTCTATTTGCAGCAGCACTTCGTTGTCCTTGAAGTACGTGTTCCATCGGCTGTCTGGATTCGGATTGAGCGGCTGCACAAAGAGACATCACACAAAACATGGTAAGTTCACATTTTATTTACAAGCAAGCCTGTCCCTGCTGAAATCTGAGAAGAGGTTTTTTGGCTCTGTCCACATGGATCAGAAAAATTCTGCTACTGCCTTTCCAGTGAGAGCCACCTTTAAAGCCAGATTTGCTAGACAGATGAGGATGTTTTCTCTGGATGGCTACTTTTAATCAGTGCACAGCAATATGAGCAGACACTCTCAAATCCATTCTCATCTTTCTTGGTGTACTCACTGCTGCAGGCAGGATTCACTAACCTGTGTCAACAGGAGTTCAGGTTATAGCTCCAACCAGTGCAAGGGTGATTTTCCATACTAAACGCTGTTAGAGGTACAGTCACTGTATATGTGTACAGCAGAATTAACACAATGGTACCTGTGTAATGATTATCTGAACTCTGAAAAGCATGATGAAGCATTGCCAGCATGGGTAGATTGATGCAAGTTCACCTAAGACTAGGAAAGTGTGGAATAAACTATAAGCATAGGAAAAAAAGAGTTTCGCAACATACACATAAAAAAAGCTCAGATACAGACTTTTCAAAACTGTACTAATGGAAGGTAACAGTCCTCTGAAAGGCCTTAGATTGGCGGGCAGAGGGGAAAGGAGGGAGAAATACCACATGCCAAAAAGCAAACATTCCAAGAACTTCAAAGGTCACAGTAACATGCCAGGCACTGTATGAATTCTTCCAAAGATCAAACTGACACAGATGACTGGCCACTAACAGGAGAGGCTGGGTTAGGAGAAGAGGTGGGCAAGCAGTTACACAACCGTGCACTTTTTGACCACTTTAAAACAAAAAACAAACAAAAACAAAAACAAAAAAGAGAGAGATCCTTCTCTGTACTAACACACTTCATAAGAAGCTCTCAAAGAACTATACCTAGAGGGTTATGGGGAAACTGAGGAACAGAGAGGTAAAGTAACCAGAGTCGCACAGGAAATCAGTGGCAAAACTGGGAATAAAAATCTTTTGGATTCCCAATCCCATAGTCTAACTACTTGCCATACTGTTTCTCTTATACTCTGGTTTCAGACTGGTCCATTTTGCATTCTATCCATAGAGAGGATTTCACAAGTTAAAGGGAGTTTCATTTTGCTAGCAGCTCCATGGTATGATCTCCTTCCATTGAGCCTTTATCATATTGATCCTTTGCTCCCATGGATAAGCAGCTCAGAGGATGACAGTGGGAAAAGGAAAAATGAAAGGATAAATATACCCTAGGACAGTATTTTACAGCATTTTTTTTTAGTCTGGAGGTTACTGAGCTAGTTACCCTCATAAGAGCTTAGCATTTCACCTCTAAGTTCTCAAAATATTTTATTCTATTAGACCAGCAGAAAGGATCACAATGGATCACCCCATGATTAGAGATGTCAGTTACTAGTCAACTAGCCACTGAGCATTTGCTTAATGGATTAGTCGAGTTGCTACTTGGCTAGTCACTTCCTCCCTGCTGCCTCTGTCAGAGCCGGATCCCCCCCAGCGCTGTCTCTGCAGGGACAGGGGAGGCAGAGGCACAGCAGTAAACAGCGTGAGCGGTGACTGTTTCAGACCTCGCTCACGCTGGTTCTCACTGTGAGTGCTGGTGCTTTTGACATGTACAAGAGCCCTGAGAGGTTCTTGTAAATTTCAAAAGCAGAAATAATGTAGAGAGCATGGGGGGAGCAGGGACTCAAGCAGGGCTATCTGCGCATGGGGCGAGCAGGGACTCAAGCAGGGCTATTGAGGCAGCAGGGGACAGGGACAGGAGCTGGTGTTGGGGGAGCTGGCTTAAAAGCTCATTTTAAATGTAGTAAGAGCCTAGTGGCTCTTACTACATTTAAAATGCAGAGCTGAAGCATGGATGACTCTGGAGCTGGCACAAGCCAGGACTGCTTAGTCCCGTCTTGACTTGGCTCCTGGAGCTACCCCGCTGCGGCTGTGCAGAGGAGCTTATCGACTAATCATATAGTCAATATAAATTGTATTACAAGAACTCTCTTCTGCACAAAGACCAAACTATACTTACGTGGTCTTCTAAGGTCACATCCTCCCTGGAGACACCGAGGTTGGCTTTGGCTATCCCAGGCTGGATAATCATTTCCTTCAGGAATTGGGAATATAGCTCCCTTAAGAAGAAGAGGAGGAAGTCATGTTAGGGAATTGGAAGATAAAATACACTGAAAGGAAAAGATATTTGTCCTGAACCCATAGAGGTCCCCCCTGCTCAGACAGGGAGAATGTGACCTTTTCTCATAAGAGTTGTTTAACTAAACTATGAAAGGCCATCACATTAACCTCTGAGACAGAATACAGAATTAACTGGGGGGGAGAAGACACCATACTTTTTCCTTCCACACAAGTGACAAAATTTTACAGGATCCTTTAGAAATTGGTTTGGTTTTTTTCCCAAGCACTAATGATATCTAAGAAGCTGTGGGGTTCTACTCCACAAGGTTATCAAGGGCTGGAGAACAAAGAGATCATCACCTCTGCTTCTTCAGCAAGGTGCTCCATAAGGCCTTCTCCTCAGGGAGGTAGTTCAAGAGGATCTGGACAGAAGGAATATACACATTACTCCTTGAAGCAGAAGGAATTAATTAGAAGTTCAGTGACTGGATGACTGAAATTAGGATGGGCTCACTGAGGAAGATGGAATCTTCCTGAAGAATGACTAGTACTTTATCAAGTTATGCCATCAGTGTCTGGAGGATACATTTTAACATCACCCTGCAAAAAGGCATAGCAAATTTCTTCCATTTAATTAGCAAATCTAGTTGCTCTACATGCAGCAAAGCTCTACAGAGCCACCCAATGACCTGTCCATAGATCTCCCCCACACAAGTGCATTTGTTATTGCCATTTCAGATTAGCTATAAATAAATGCCCCTGATTGCTTAGCAAGCCTAGAGCTGTTGATTCACATCAGCCACTGCAGTAGCGATAAGCCAATCTATTTTGTTTTTTTAAGTGCACAAAACTTTGCAGAATCAAACAATCCAGTTGGATGACTTCCAGAAGACAAGAAAAGCCCCAAGCAAAACCCACCTTCCAGCAGAGGCAGCGCAGCCCACCATCAAAAGGAATCCCTGTGAAATACATCAGGCAGATTAAATTAAGTTAGTCCCAGCCTTTTTACTGCATTATGCAGCATTTATGCTGATGCCACCAAGCGGACAGGAGGGCAGCATGTTTCAAGTGCTCAAAGAGTTTTTCAAAAACATTGAGAAGCTTTAGGGCATACCAAAAAAAGATAATATAGCAAGTATAAAGTGACTTGCATATCTGGCTCTTTAAAGGGAATACTAGGCTAAGCATAAGGGAAAAGATTATATGGCTCACACACAAAGGAGGGAATGAAATATGTAGATGGTGTCTTGGGTGAAGGAATTAGTGAATATTTTTTAGAGAGTGAAGGAAGAAGAGTTTTTTTGTCCCCATTTGAAGGTTTCAGAAACCATACATTGTACAGCTATAATTCCTTCTAAAACCATTCAAACAGTTGGTAATTCTTTCAATCACATCTGCTAGCCTTTGATTTATAACATGCTCTGCTTTGTTAAACATTTATGACACTGGCAACTTAGTGGCAGCACACATGACATTTGCTTATTTGACAATAGCTAATCATCTAGTGGAGTTTAACATCTTATGCTTAACTGGAAAGATAGAAGCTCTGAATGAAAGTAAGATAAAGATCTAAGTATTACATTGCACTCATGATTTTGGTATCAAGTGCTTCAAAGTCTATACCTTCTGGAAATGTAAAAAGTTGTGTAAAAATGTAACCATGCAACTGCTAAAAATCCTAGTGGTTACATGCTGCTGGGGGCTCTACAGTATAAACTTCTTTATAATGATAGCTGACTCCAGAGCAGGGGTAGGTATGTGAACAACTAATCGACTATCTGATACGCAAATGCTTATCGGATAGTCGACAGGCTAGTCAACTAGTCACTTCCCTCTCCACTTGCTGACTCTATTAGAAAGAGGCAGCGAAGAGGGAGGAAAAAGAGGGGTTCTTCAAAGCGGCAGCACTGCGTGGAGCCTGGGACCAGTCCCTGGGCTCCATGCAGCACTGCCGCTTTGAAATGCTGCGTGCAGCCCAGGGTCTGCTGCTTTGAAATGCTGTGTGCTGCCCAGTCCCCAGCTGGCCCTTGGCTGCACATGACATTTCAAAGTGGCAGCGCCACATGGAGCGGAACCCGGGATCAGCTGGAGAGTCTCCCACTGACCCTGGGCTCCCCATGGCATTTCAAAGCAGCAATGCCGCATGGAGCCCGGGGTCAGTGGAGGAGTCCACAGCTGACCCGGGGCTCCACGCGCGCTACCGCTGTGAAACGCCATGGGGAGCACAGGGCCAGCGGGGACTGCCCTGCTGGCCCCGTACTCCCCGCAGCGCTTTCACCTTTGAAGTATAGCAACAGCCCTAGGCTGTTGCTACACTTCAAAGGCAGAGGCACCCTACTGACTAATCGAATAGTCTATGCAAATTGCATTGACTATTTGATCAGTCAATTACTCGAAATTTAATATCCCTACTTTAGGGGAGCCAGATACTGCAGAGCCGCAGCAAAGCCTCCCTAGGAGCAGGGCCAACAGGGGTTCCTTGTCCCTGCTCCTGGGGAGGCTTTGCTGCGGGCTCTGCAGTATAACTGGCTCCTAGGGAGCCAGCATGTAACCATAATCAAAACAGTTTAAATGCTTACACTTTTGCATCTCTAATACCTTCAGACTATGGAACTAAAAACCTGTTTAACTAGTTAAACGTAATGTTTAACTGGTTAACTCAGGGGTTCTCAAACTTTGTGATACCGTGATCCCCCTCTAAGTTGCTCACAACCCCCCCAAGGGGGTTGGGACCCACAGTTTGAGAAATGCAGGGTTAACTGATTAAAGGGAAGCAGGCCTCCCCCCCGCCTGCCTCGGTCAACTGCAGCCAGGCTGGAGCAGCCTCCTCCTGTGATGCGCTCAGGCCTGCCATGGACAGGGACTGCTCTGGCTGAGGTGGAGTAGCCCCCTGCCCGCAACAGGTAGGGAGCTGCTCCTGACACCACCAGTTAACCAGAATCAGTAAGCATCACCCATTAAGTGTCTCAGTTGTCTTCCTGTTTAACATAGCTGCAAGGCCTAGAGACTATTGGCCCCATCACTCAATTTTCCATCCTAAACTGAGTATCTACAACTAGCTGAATTTTATGAGGGAAAAATAGGGGCAACACCCTACCAAACTGTCCTACCACACTGTCAACATCGCTCTTGATCAGGCATTCTTGCAGTAGAAGCTTTGTGGCTGCCTGTGCAAAGTTTTGTAAAAGTCACTTACCACTGAAGCACAGTTCACGGAGTTTGTGCAGAATAATCTTGGGTTCCCCAAGGACATCCTGAAATTCTGCAATCCTACAAAAAAGAAACAAACAAAAAACAGTGACCATATGCACAAATTATATGCTAATCTCAGGGTGAATCAGGTGATTACATGAAGGTAGCAGATTTATATTGCAGCTTTTGTTCCTGAAAAGATCACAGCACAAATACCTCTGTCAACCAGGAATCAAAGCTCTGGCCACAATGTCCCCCTTGGCTGTTACAGCTAGACATAACAGATATACACTGAGGTCTTACCTAGAGACTCAGAATAGGAATAACTGTTAAAAATCTGTATTGTTCTCAAGTTTAGACTCACAAGGTCTCTCACATAATCTCATGTTTAGCTCATAATCAAGATTAGTTATTTCAAGGGCACTTACACCCCATAACATACATTGTAAGTAGTTACAAAAATATGTTTTTCTTTTCTTCTGATAAAGACTTTTTAATCACAGCTGCTTTTCAGTTGCAAGTACAATACATGAGGCAGATTGCAAAAGCAAACAGAATTATGAACTAGCGCACACTTTACACTCTCCCTAGGTACTGAAGCATCCTATCCCAACATTCATGCTACTCCAGCTTTAGGGAATCTTTAAAGAATCATCAACCCCCCCAGACTTCTAAGTGCTAGACTTCTAAATTGCTGCATTAGTGAAGTTGCACTCAATGGCAAGAAATCCTATAGTTCCATTAAACTCATGGCCCATTTATGATGTGTGGCTCTAATGCTTTACTCTGGGCTTAGATAGTTTGCCCTATGAAAGAGCATCATTTGTTATGGAGCACCTCAACTTTTCACAGGTCAGCCTGCTCAGTTTCCCACACCCTATCCTGGCAAAACAAACAGGATCACACAGAACATTCTATGTGCGGACAAAGCTTTGGGGCACACACACATCAGTGTTCCCTGTAAGCTGTGTGCTTGTGCCACCACTCAGGAAACACACACATGCCACCCATCTGATTAGCAGAGTGCTTTTCTGCTGGAACTCTGACACAGGTCTCAGCACACACACAAAATATTTTGCACATTCATGGGGGGGAAAAAATCTACACCTGGATGAAAAAGATTAGAGGGAACATTGACAGCCATCCTGATTTTCCCAAAGTGGCCCCTCACTCCATGCACTGAGAATCCCGCCTCACAGCCCACACCCCTCCCTGCACCCCGCTGGGCCCTGCAGAGGGCAGGCAGAGAGCCCCCTTGGAAATAGCGGGGGTCAGGGGACTCTTACCCAGAACAGCCTGCCCCTCCCCCGCACCAGAGCACACCTGCCCCAGGGCTCAGTGATGGGGGCACCCTCTCCACTAGGAGGATGAGCTGGGGCACCCCCTCACTCCGGAGGGAGCGTCCAAGGCAAGGGGGGGATGCCCCTCGCTAAGGGAGGGGGCCACGTTCAG